GATTATAGTCAGAGCGAATTTCATGGGTTGGAAACAGTCAGGAAACTAGTTTCAAACAATGAAATTCACTCCTTCTGGTTTGGGATTTCTGTGCGAAGAGACCTTAAACCAACTTATTGACACCTTTAATTTGACACATTATTCAGCGCAAAACTTGATAGGTGTCAAAGCTGAGACCGCGGGCCCTTGCCCCAATAAGCTGCCCTGCCACCCTTTTCCGGCAAGTTCTCACGAGGCAGGATCGACTTTTTAGATAGGGGACATCGAGACCTTGAATCTGATACCCTACTTAGGGCATAACTCGATGGGGGTAGTGTTACGTTTTTTTCAATTTGTTAATAGGGACATGAAGCTTCCGTATTTTTTGCTCGGTATCCGTATCGGTATCGTACTGCGCATGTGCAGAAGCGATACGGAGGCCGAGATACCGTACGTACAACGTAACGTTACGGCCCTCTCGCGGTATCCGTATCGGTAACGTATCTTGACATTCCTGACGCATGTGTCAAATTTCAAATGAATATAACCTCACTTTTCTTCCGGGTTGATTTTATTTGTTCAGTTTATACTTTCTTGAGTTTCTTGTGTGTTTAGTGCTTCTCTATCGCAAAAAAAATAACAATTTTAAGGTTAGATATTAAAACGCCGGAGTTTTGAGACAAAAATTTCCAGGTTATGAGATGCGTTTACGTTTACCGGAACAGGGAGCGCTTTAACAGCCTTTTCGCTTGTCAAAGTATCTAGTTGCGTTACCTACGGATACCGATACCGATACCGGCGAATTATTTCAAGTAGCTTTATGTCCCTAATAATTTGTTAAAAGATATTTCCGGCAGCATTTGCTCTCAGGCAGGAATACCGGTTAATAGATGCACATAATACAGGGTGTCCTTAGATAAACTGACACATTTTAGAGATGGATATCTCGAAAACGAGAAAAGATAACGGGATGCGGTTTGTTCTGGAAGAATAAGGATTTTTTAAAGTTTTTTTTCATGATATTGACGAATCCTGAAATTTGGTTTTACAGACATTCGATTTTTTGGAATAAAAACATACTGCCTTATTCTTGATGAAACACCCAGTATATTTTGTCATCATCAGAAAGAGTGACTTTTTTAGTTCACAAAAATGTTTAATTTTTTTCAATTATCATGAAATTAAATCGTAAAAATTGCACTTGGTTGAAGTACTGTCGACTGGACAAAAAAAAAATGATAAGAATTAATTTGTGTTTTAAATGCACTTATTTGTGTTTAATTCTTGTCTTATTAGTTAACTATGCCCTAATTATTTAATAAAAGTATTAAACACAAATTGATTCTCAATTTTTTTTTTTTTGGTTAGTCGATGGTATTCCTTTCGACAATTTTCACGATGCAAGTTTAAGATAATTGAAAAAAATTATACATTTTTGTAAAGTAGAAAAATCAGGCTTTCTGACGATGACAAAAGATACGGGGTGTTTCATTAAAAATAAGGCAGTTATTTTATTTCAAAAAATCGCATGTCTGTTTAACCAAATTTCAGCAAATTTCAGGATTCGGCAATAATGTGGAAAAAAACTTTGAAAAATCCCTATTCTCACAAAACAAACCGCATCTCGTTATCTTTTCCCGTTTTCGAGATATTTACCTGCAAAATGTGTCAGTTTATCTAAGGACACCCAGAAAACCGACACAGACTGACCACACAATACCGAACAATTCTAACCACCCACAACACATAAACTAGCTTCTTTTCATTGTTATATCCACAGACTTTTAAACATCCCTCTATATAAAGAGGACTACAATAACGAAGTTAAGATTCCTAAACAGATTGCTTACAATAACCAATTCGAACCTAAGTTAATTGATGTTCTCATTACTGAAGCTAAAACAAAAAAGATCCAAAAAGAAGTTTACCAAGTTCTTCCTCCAACAGTCAGTAAATATGTGGCATTACCATTTCTTGATTCTGAACTAATTCCAAAATTTCGCTGGTCCTTCGCCAAAATGTCAAGCACTTAAAAATCTCATATAAAATAAAGAACAGTCTTGCAACACATTTAGTTCATTCTAAAGACAAAATCGACCAACTATCCAAAAGTGGCAAAGTGGCATCTATAAATTGAGTTGTATTTCCTGCCCCACCTTGATGGAGAAATATTAAATGAATAATTACTAAGGCTGATACAATAAAAGGTAATATAAAATGTAAAGTAAAAAATCGTGTTAAAGTTGCGTTATCAACAGCAAATCCTCCTCAATCTTTTCAATTTAGAAGCCTCTCTCTCTGACGTCAAACTATCAGACGACAAAAGAGCATGAAAACAATAGGCGTATTTTAGCGACAGGTAAACATCATACTACACATACTACGATTCATGACGTCATAGTTACCCAAATAACAGGTGGAGTGTATTTGACAAAGGGTCTAAGAGAGGACGCCACGATCGTTGTTTATTTGGATTTGTTGAATTTTGTAAAATTTAGCGTTTTCGAGTTTCAATATTATTTCTCCAGTGAAGATTTTCGAATATTTTTGATAGATTGTGGTATTTTTGAATTTTATGGGTGCCAAAAAAAAAAAAATTACACTTTTGTGCACAAGTGAAGATTTTTTATTTTTTTTGCAAAAAACCTCTAAAATAAAATCACAGAAAGCCATGGCAAAATGAGGAAAAACAATCCTCTATTTATAATGGAAAGAACTGTGTCGGTAATCGTAGCGTAATCAGCTGATGTTTTGCCCATATGCTCATTTTCGTGTATTAGAAAAAGATGCACTGACATACTACAACCAGTAACTATCCCTCCTAGGATGTTTACATGTTTACAGTCGAGTTTTATGTTGTGTTTTATGTTGTGACGTCATAGTATGTTAGCCATGCTCGCTAAAATGTAGTATCCCAAGTAAATACAACATACTACTGGGTTAAAACTCTCGCTAAAATACGCCTAATGATTGGCAGCCGTTGACAGTGGTTTGTTGACAGGACTTTTATGCGTATGGAGACTGGAAACTATTATTTCCTCGGTTTTTTCAAGGTTTTTTCCTAACAATGGTGATTGTGTGTAGTGTGCCTCTTCGTGAAAATAATTCCTATTCACCGGCGGACGTGTCTTTCCATAAGTTTTTATCAAATCCTACATTTGTCAAAATTTGGATACACAAAATCAGAAAGGATACTCGCAAAAGAAAGTGAAATCCACGGCTCATCAAGTATACGAAGTAATCCACGTTCAAGTTTAGTTTGCGGTTTGCTTCCCACATTTTCTTTCCAATTTCAAATTTCACCATTCTATGTCGGTCAGTCGGACATTGTCATTTTCCATTCACTAAACAAAGATACCTAACTCATCGGTGAAGTCACCGATAAGAATAAAAACGGGCTTGCTAAACACCCAATACACAATGACATTGACAAGAAAGCAAATGTTGGCGAGAATATGAATATTTTCATACTATATCGTCCATTTCTTTTAATTGAAAACGTCAACTAGTCTCATGAGACTGCTGTTTCTGGAAATTATCCACCAATCTACTAGTGGTGCATAAATATACACGCACCTTTTCGAATATTTCATCAAAAGGCGTTTGCTAGGTTCCAACATAAACAAAAACTTCTTGACATTTTATGTACAGTCTTTTTTTTCCCAAGATAGATTTTGACATTGAAAACTTTGAAATATAAACAATAATGCTTGGCCCTGATTGGTCGCAAAATGCCGTGTCTTTGCAGGTTGGAATCAGTTTTACAATGCATGCAGGGCCGTAGCCAGGGGGGGGCATTGGGGGGCAATGCCCTATTTTTTAAATGATGATGCCCTACCTTTAAAAATCAACATGCATTTAGGTTTCTTTAGAAAATTTAAAAGTAGATAATGCCTGAAGTAGATAGGCCTGAAATCGAGTAAGCGAGGATGAATGTTTCCTAAAATGCCTAAATCTAATGAACAATGTTTGACGTTTGCACAGAGGAAGTTTTTTGTTTTCAAAGATTGCGAATGGCCCAAGGCGGCTGGCGCGAGAATCCGCGCCATTTTGTTTACTTGCCAGAGATGTTATTTATTGCAAGGTTGTTTGATAGAGGCGAGAGAGGTAAGATGCCTGGTAACTTTATGACGTCATCTGGGGTGCCTCAACATAATGCAAATCTTTATAAGGTATCCTAGATGTGTCATCAAGTTACCTTTTACCATACAACCTGAACCTTGATTTATTGAAAAATTTGTCTTCGGCGCCATTAGCCCCATTTTGTTTACCTATAAAAAAATTAAGGGGGGGGGGGTAAGTAGTGTATGCCCTATGTCAAATTTGTCATGCCCTACCTTAAATTTGACTCTAGCTACGGCCCTGAATGCATGTCGTGCAAATGACATCTTGCGACCAATAAGCGGCATTGTTTATGTTCCAAAGTTGACAGTGTCAAAATCTATCTTGGGAAAAAATAGAGTAAGTATAGATACCTATACAGTCCGCCTGGCTGATGAGGACCTTAGAATCTCGACATGACCCCATCGTATCGAAACCAAACAGCAAATAAGGTAGAAAACAAGTTGGCGGTGAATTTTCGTATTTGAATGAGGGAAAGTAAAGTATGAACAACATAGTGAGGGTAACTGAGCAACACGCAGTTTGGATCTCAACAACGATAACACTTAATATTTAGAATACCCAAAATCAAATAACCACCATTATTGTCATAGATTTGAGACCATTTCACCCAGCTTTCTGGGAACGTGACCAAAGTTTTTTAGAAGTCACCCGGGCCCACTCAAACCTCAAAAGTGAAATTCAGCTTTTAAGATGTTATCCACCTATTCCCGGTTATTCTGTATGGAGAGGTATCATGGACTCTTGTAAGAATGGCATCAAAAAAGCGCAAGATATTTGACCTGTGGCCTAGAGTTGTGCTCCTTACATCGTTGTTATCGTTGCTGATGATGTCATTCTGGAAATGCTTAAAACAAGCGATAAGAAGTACTTTGGACTTTGGATAACACGAAAGAGACTTGGGTTTGAGAAACTTTTATTTGATTCGCAGATTACTCTCCTTTCTCCTCATCCAAAAAAAAAAAACAAATATTATTTTTTTCAGCTCTAAGTTATAAGCTAAATTACTATTTTGAGATTTGGTTACATTTTTCGGCAAAAAACTTTGCATTTCAGTAACTTCAATAGTAGACCAATTGTATAAATGCTTGAAAAATAAAACATCCCGTAAAAAAAATTAATTTTCAATTACCTAATAGAAATAAATATTACAGCGTTATACATTATACAGATAGAAGTATAGTTATGAACATTCAGACCAATTTTTGGATCAGCGAGGTAGATATTATCAAAACATTTCAATCACACCTAATATTATATCTACTTTGCTTGGCAAATTCGATATAACACTAACAATTATTCAGGTATCCTTATTATTCTGAACAGTTTTACTAAACACTACTGTTTAAACAAGTCTGTCAACGTATAACTAGCAAACAAGTTATTAACAATACCGGATACAAAATTTGACACCACATCCTGTAAGACAGGCTTTAAATCAGCTATTATCAGATTGAAATTTTCATTTATTAGTTTATTAGTTTTTTCCGATATTTCAGTATGATTGCCAAAAAGGCCTTCCAATTCCAGTTGAGAATCTCCAATTTCAATTGAAATGGTTTCGTTTTTCCATTTTATGTAGGATTTTTGGTTTACAGTAAAAGGAGTTCCCCTAAGAGTTAAATTAACTCGGAAATTTGCTGAAAAATAAAACATCCAATATTTATATTCAATTTCATCAAATTCAACAACAGAGTACTACTTACTATAATTACCATCAGCTGGTCCAGTTTCATTATGATCTACCAATAAAAATCTTCCTCTAATGTTATATTTCGATTTTATGCGAAGATAGGGAAACCTTATGCTTAAATTCACTCTATTCTGCACAAAATCCATAGCAAATTCATCCAAATAAAATTCATCAGCATTATAAATTTCGATATCCTGAAAATATTAGTTTAGTTTTAGGATCTAGGATCTATCCCAAAAAAAAAAATGAGAATAGACACTTAAATCTTCCATTCGATAGAAGTTAAATGCCAATAAAAACAATCTAAGATAAAAACCCTCTTAAATTCTAAACAGAAGAAAGCTGAAATCATTTTGAAACTATACTTTTATTATATTCGGCTATATTATTTTAATAAACTGCAAATTGATTATGGTTCACTTTCATTCTTGGTAGAAGGAATCTTTAATAGATATATTTATTTGATAAACCTTATTAAGTTAAGAATAACTTTAAGGGACCTCGTTGTGGCTTGATATTAAAGTTTCTTACCGTGAAAGTAACTGTAACTTGATCTCCTTCATTAATAGGTGTTGGTGGTAATACTAAAGGGTCTAAAGGTGGTATAAACAAAGCCGGAATACCAACTTTTAATTTTGGCCTCAATATCTTAATGTTTTCTTGTACGCATTTGTGGATTTGTGGGTCCGATTTGATGCATGGTTTTATGTAGGATGCTAGAGAATGTAAAATTTTCTTTGAAAACCGTTATTTCCAAAGAATCTAAATTAAAAAAAGGGTTCTTACGTAGTAGATTTTCAGCACTGCACCAACCAAAACAAAGAAAAATCACTAGAAAAATTTTAATATTTCTCATCTTCAACAACAATAATGCTTATTGATGTACCTATTTACAATAAACTAATATATTTCTTGTGCGGGCTTCACAATACTAAAAACGCATCTCGTTTCAGGTCATATTATTGTTCAAGATTTGAACCTTATTAATTTCAATATTGTGTAGAATTACAAACATTTACAGGGATAACTGGTTTCATTTGCGTGCATGATGCTGGAAACAATTTAAATATGAAAATTGATTAGTCATTGCGAGAAATGTTTCATATTAACTTCTAAGATCTAGGTATACAGGCATTTCACTACTTAGGTATTAGGTATAAGCAAAGACAAGGTAAGTAAGATGTTTATTCACAACCACATACTTAATGTTGACATTTCTAACTTTTCAAATGTTTGAAAGTGACACTTTTTTGAATTTTACTTTCCTGCCGGGTGGAAAGTGGTCCCGGGTGGAAAGTGCTCACTTTCCACCCGGGTGGAATGTAAGCCCTCATTTCCTAAAATGTTGAAGACAAGTCCTGCTTGTCAAACGTTCTTCTAGATAATTCAGAACTTGTCAACAATTTTTTTTATTTCCTACTGAACTATTATAACCATATCAGACCTTGGTTACGATATTCATAAACAGGGTCTAAACTCCCAAGGGAGTTAAGGATTTCCATAACTCCCAAGGGAATTAAGGATTTCCATAACTCCCGCTTTTACCTTGAATAGGTGAAACGTTGACAAAAAAATAGAAATTTTGGTTTATGGTTTATTTCTTTATAAAAATGGACAAAATAAAGTAAATTCAGTAGGAAATAAAAGTATCTATGTACCACGGGAATTATCAGGTGTTAATACCCACGGGCAATTGGTGTCCCTCGGGCCTTCATTTTTATTTAGTAGGTATTTAGTCAAAATTGTGATGCTTATAATTGTTGTGAATAAAATAGTATACAATCCTCGGTAGGAAGTTTCATTCCTGTCTCGAGATTATAGTTAACTTCGACGCTTCGCATCTCAGTTAACTCACTAATCTTTCGACAGTAATGAAACACAAAATTTAACGAAATATCGATAGAATTTAATATTTGAACTCCAGAACAAGGAACAAGCGATATTAAATCTCATAGATTTTAAATTCTTGTGGAGTTTTATTCTGACTCAGCACTAGATACACCGCTGCAACACTTTCTTGTTTTTCACTAGTTATCAACATTCTAATAAATCGCAGCTTTGACCACACGGGTAATGCAGGCGTTTTACAATTTTACGATTTTCCAGAACTTCTATCATATTGGTTTGCTTTATAGGTTATCATCATCTACTTAAATAAATTATCCGTCCACTGTTCTACTCCCCACCAACCGCAAGGCAGTAGAAACGGAAACGATGTTCCGCATCGCATCGTGTGCCATCGGCATTACTGCAAGATTGTGGACTGCAAGATGACAGCCACTATTGCGTCAAGTTCAAAAATTTTCGAACAATTTTGCAGATAGGTACTTAGTATTACAGACATGTTGTGGGCGTGGGACCCCTCCGATGCCACGAGATTTTTGTCCGACAAATGTGATATCGTTAATATAACATAAAAAGCAGCCGATTGGAATTAAAACTACACATAGGTATATGAATCACCGTTCTCAGGGACGTCAAAATGACAACTTCACGAAGAGCTAGCGCGACAATGTCTCATCGCCCAGGTTGAAGATATGAACAAAATTGTCCAATTTGGTATTATGAATCCGCTCAAGGCCCGTATTCTCGTAACCGGGGAATAGCGTTCTCTCAAGAGAACGATTGCTCTGTCTTTGTCAGTATTATGGAAATAACAATATGCGGGCGACTAAGACAGAGCAATCGTTCTCTCGAGGGAACGCTGCTCCCCGTTGACGAAAATACGGGCCCAGAAAGTTTAGCAAAAAATAAAAAAAAAAATATCGGTTTTTTATTCATTATTGTTTTTTTTTCAGTAATAAATAATGACGTAATTAGCAACTTAAAAAAAAAACAAAAGTACCCATAAAATAATGATTTAATTACTAAACAATTTTTTTATGACCAAAATAAGCCTTTGTTTTTTTGTCATCATTTGAAAACCGCTAAACCAAATGTTTTCAGAATCGGTGATTAAATTAAGAATAAAGAGACCTTTAAAACGATATATCACTCGACACCGCCTTTTATTTAAAAAAACGTCTCAAAACTGCACCCAGCTGTCATTTTGACAGCTGAATCTGTCATTTATTTTCCGAAAAATGGAGAATCTGCTCACATATTCCAAATTTTGTTGCAATATACCGAGCGGTTCAAAAGTTAGAGGGGGGGCGACGGACTTTATGTCCTCACTGTATATGTCTTCCATGTAGTGCCTTTTCTTTCCATAATTTACTCGACATAAAAGTCTGTTCTTTCTGGTTTGGTTTCTATAATGATGGGAAGTTCAGCCCTTGAGAGGTTCTCAACCTTTTAGGGGTGTAATTTACATCAGCTTTGACGATGGCCTTGTGCAGTGTTTTTGTTTCAGCTTTAGTCAGAAAGTATTGCTGGAGGTTGGCTACTTGCTTCTCATGGAGATAAGAAGAGACGTCCATAAGTCACCTGCCGCTAACTTGTCTAGTATATACGAGGCGCTCGTGTTGGCAGCTTTGGGATGATGTTACCTATACTTTGTTAAAAGAGTTCTTGTCTCTGTTTCTGTGGCTTCTACATCCGTTTTCGTCCATTGAATAACACCAAATGTGTATACGTTAATACAGGGATATAATACGTATTTACAGCATTTATGATATTCTTTGCCTTGAGTTTAGTTTTCAATAATATTATGTTCTAGGCGTTTTGTATGTGTCGTGTCTACTTGTTTATTTTGTGTTCAGTGTAGTTTAACTGGTGCATTCCTAGGTATTTGTACGTCTCGTCCATCCTCATATGACGTCTTCATCCAGAAACTCAAAGTGGCCAGCTATTCAGCTGGCCACGTATTATCTTTCTTTATGATTCTCTGAGTTCTGCAATTTTCCAGGCCAAACAACATGTTGATATTTTTGGAAAAGATCTCTACAGTTCTAAGTAGGGCATCTATATCTGTTTTTGTTCCAGCATAACACTTGATGTCATCCATGGAAATTAGGTGGCTCATCTGATATAACACGTCACGTTGGCCCTTTACCAAAAATCCATGTCTGCTGGAGTTGAGCATATACGACAGCGGATTCAGCGCCAAGCAGAAACACAGTAGTCTGAGTGAATCTCCTTGGAATACTTCTCGGTTTATTTGTATTGAACCCGTTGTTATATTGTCCGTTTTGTGATTGAGCTTCAATTTGGTTGACTATGTAGTCATAAGATAGTTGTTCAGGTACTTACTCTGGTTTGCTCTACAAACACTGTGTCAATGAGCAATTGCTCTCACATACCTTCGAGCTCTTTTAACACATCCCTTGTGTTTCTGTGCCAGGATTTCAATTCTTTCACAGTGGTTATGTATATCTTACTCGCTATGCAGGCAGTAAACAGCTTATAAACTGTAGGAAGACAGGTTATTGGACGGTACTTCGATGAGTTCTCGGTGTCATCGTCCTGGCAACAAGTACGTGATTCCCTGGCAGAGAAATACCGGCGCTACCTCTGGATTTTCCACAAATTTGTTGAGCCAGATACTTGATACTTGTTAGTGCACTTGAATTTCCTGTATCAGAAGTTCTGGATTTTGTCCGCTCCAGCTGCCTTCCAATTGGTGTTGTTTTTTTTATCACCGTCTGCAGTTTTGCTAATTTGATATGTCCTTCTTCCATGGGTGTAATTTCGTGCACTTCAGCACTTCGTCTACGTGTTTATTGATCCAATCAGCGCCGTCAGCATTATGGTAGTTGGCACTGACCAGAGATTTACCCAGTAATCCTCGATATGTTGTTCTTTTGGCGACCTATTTGGTATGACTCTCTGTAACGTCCGAGTCGCTTGCATACTAACTACACTGAGTTGTTGCTTGAGAGTGTCCAAGTATTCTTCGACGGTGACATTTGGATAGTTGTGTGTGGCGTGATGTTTGTCATTGTTCATTATAATCTCCACATGTTTTACTAGTTTTTTTTCCTCTCTGTTTCTTCTGATAAGCAGTAAGTCTTCCTAAGTCCTGCCTGAGTTTTTCTATTCTATTGCTCAATCTTCTTTCCGAGGGTGGCGCGCTCTTTTTTGTAGAGTTTTTGGGTGACTATGGCAGCGGCGTATACTGCGGTAGAAGGTATGGTTAATTAAGTGTATAAGGATTAGCTTTTTTATATAATTTAAATTATGGGATTCTCCCTCTTCAAGTCGGTTGTTACTAAAGCTAGATCATCTTGTTTATTTACTGACTAAGCAGAGTCATTAAGATAAATTTGAGTATAGTCTTTTTTTGAGTTATTTGGGCCAATCCTTAGTGCAGTTGAGGAGTTTAACTTCATTCCCCATGTTATTGACCACTCTCTAAAAAAAAGACGCAGACCCTATGGCGTATTTTTTAGCTTACAAACCAAAATTGAATCGTTACTGAAATTGGTATCCCTACCTTCAGGCAGTTCTACAGGGTGTCCCCGTTCAACTGGTTAAAAATGGTAGGGTATTTAGAGGAACCAAAGAGAAGTAATTTGAGATAGGACACCGATGGTCGGAAGTGCGTCGTTTCCAAAATAAAGAGTGTTGAAGTTTAAACATCTGGAAGGTTTATGCTAGGCTGTTCAAATTTGTAGGGATTATTGATGTTGGAATGATATTCAAAAACTCGTATAATGCACCCCCATTTTCTACCTGGAACCATCCAGAAAAAAAAAGGAAAACTTGAAAATAATCAATTTTTTTTTTTATATATAGGTACCCTAGCATTTTTGACCAGTTGAACAAGGACACCCTGTATATAAACTGACTTTAGCGCTCTAGTTGAAAAAATCCGAGAAAACTGCTGATTCAGCATCAAGATTAATAACAAAAAAATCATGCTCAAGATGAATTACGAACAAATCATAGGTACATATACCGGTGGATAAGCGACGATTTCTTAAACGTTTATTTTTTTTCGATATACCTACCTTTTTTTTGTTCATGGCATCATAGAATCTAATTATTTTATTTGGGTTTTTTTTGTTAATTTCTGGTCCTGGTCCATGTTCTCTT